ATATTTACCTGATTGACTTTCTGCACAGTTTCACCTGAAAATTCTGGAACTGGCCCAAAGGTGTTCAGAACAAGTCTCATTCCTCCAGCATATCTTTCACAATAATTTGAAATACCTGAAAATAAGAGTGAAAAGTTACATTTCAACAGAAATTCCTAGCTTAAGTCAGTAAGGCTGCCTGTGCTTAATCATTGTTTTAAATCAGAGACCCAAAAAAATAGTCTGCTCTTATGATTAAGATACCTAATTGTCATCAAGGAAAATTGGATTCTATCCACCCCATTTCCATTTAGGTTCATGAAAAAATTATTTAGGATGCAGCTGCATTGTAAAATGAACAAATGTCACACACCAGCAGGCAATGCTGTGTGAGGGTGTAGTGCACAACCACAAATAAATCTGCTTTGCTACTTGTGACCAGAAAGCTTCCCTGACCAGGGTCCATGAGGAGAGTGCTCTCACCTCTCCTCCCAGGCAGTGTGTGTTGTATCTTGAAGCATTCCTGTCATTATTTTTATTTATTAACCTGGAGTGTATGAAGAACAACATGGCTTGGGGGAAAGTGTCAAAGGCATGGAGACACAGGTGGCCCCCAGTGAAGGAAAAAGGCTAAAGGAGGAAGAGATGGATCTTGCAGATCAGTATCTTGCAACCCCAAACTGTGGTTAGAGACAGAGATTTGGCTTTTATAACCCCCTCTGATGGTTGAGCACTTCTAGGGGGAGACAGGATTCACCTGACAAAGCAGAGAAAAGGCATCTTTGACAAAAGCCAGGCCCATCTGGAGAGAAAAACTTTACATCAGGATGTAACTGTGGTGTGTGGGGATGGCTCACACAACTGGAGAGATACACACTGCAGGAAAGACAAGGAAGAGGCTTTATCTCTATTATGCCTATTTATTATCTCTATAATGGGGCAGCTCAGATCTGTGGAGCTATTCCATGGGAAGGGTGACCGGCTGAGTGAGAGCCTGTGGACAGGCCTGTAAAGCACAGCATCCTCCAAGGGCAGGAACAGTCCATCCTGATATTCAAGAAGACAAGCACATGTATCAAGAGATTTGCTTGGAAGAACTCCAGTGCAAAAAGGTGTCATACAGCAGGTGGAAGCAGGGACAGGCTGTAAAGAAGAAATTAAAAAACACCACCTAGGCATGTAGGAATGGTGTCAGGAAAACCAAAGATCAGCTCCAGTTGAAACTTGCAAGGATGTCAAGGGCAACAAGAAGGACTTCTACTGTTAGTAATAGCC